AGGATATTTGCTGGTATTGTAGAAGCCCCACATGGAACTGATCCAATAATGAAATTTCTGAAAGAACAATCTTACTTGCATGCCTCGAATGTCTTCAGTATATCAAACTGCCCCCCACGTTCCGAGACACCAGTATCTCTTCGTAGCATTTTTTTGCCCTTTCAGATCTACGAATATGACACAAATAATTTTAGTTGTAAGCAATGCCAAATTGTCACTGCAAATTATTCCATGTTGCATCAGATTAACATTATATTGTCCATTAATGTTTAGACAAAAGTGATTACCTTTTTGGCCAGACATTGAAAACCAGAAATTCGAATTGAAGTAGTAAGTAGATGTACATTTAATTTGTATAATGTAATGCACCATAGCTAGTACCTGCAATTATTTATCCGTGCCCCAGTGCTTTTTACAGCTATGTCTGTCCTTGGTTGACCCAGTTGAAAGGCATTTCCAGATGTTGCCTGTACAATTAAAATATAATTAGTATAAGAGTTAACTGCCAACTTAGATTCCTGGAGCATATAGATGGTGATTGCAACAGGTGCTATTTAATTGAATTCAAAACATCCTAAAAATAGCAAAATGCAGAGTCAAAACTTACATCACAATTCCTACAGAAATGCTGTGCTGTACTGCCAAGATGATGGCAAATTTCTGATGCCTTTGGATTGTCACACAAGACACAGAGGATTGGGCACTGGACAAAAATCTCTGCTTGAGTAAATGAGTCGTACATTACCATTCCAGTCTCAAGTTCTAAAGGGAGAACATGTATCAAACTTAGTTTGGCTGTATATCACAGCATTTTAAGAATTTAAACCTATTAATTAGGTCAAAACGTTTCTATGTATACTATAGACTAAAACTATCTTCAGATCTAACAGATCTACCTAACAGATCTTCTGCAATAACTTTGCCCAGAGTTTCAGAGTCTAACAAATTTGAAACACAAAACAAAGTTTATGTTACTAAATTTGGTAACTTCTTCTCTAGGCAGACTTGCAAGAAAAAAGGAATATGTTTCCAGTTTGTCCCATTTCTTTGACCTGTTCCCACTGGTTTCGTTGAGGAAGATGACCAGTGGAAGAGTCAATGTCTGCCTTCCATTTACTGCTATTTTCATCGGATGTGCAGTGGAGTGGAAAATTATTTCCTAAATTAAAAGAGATTCAGAACTCAGACTACCTTAATGAATACCATCTAAACGTACCTAGCATCGTACATACCTCTGGAGTAAGGCTGTAAATAACACCATTGACATCCTTGTACGCCAGGGAAATTTCACATATCTCATCAATTTCATTGATTTTAAGCACATCGAGGTCTTCCAAAATAACCAAATAATCTGTGAACATGTGGCAATGAACATAAACTTTTAGAATCTCACACATGAACTCAAGTTATTCACCTCCTGAAAGATTGATAACATAGAATGTTAAATTCATATCCATAATTTGTCCATAAGCCTTGCTGTTGTCTCTTCCATAAAACCCAACAACGTCTCCCACAAACACAGTTTGGCCATTGACAGTTGCAGAAGATGTCTGAAACTGGTTGCAAACACGCCATTTTCTGCCCTACGGTATAGTAAAGATAGTATAGGTTGCATTGAGGATTCAGGGCAGCAGGCATCAAAATAATATTAACTTACTTTACACATCCCTTGGATTTTGTTTTCTGTCAGTTTGGGGTATCGGTTGAGTTGTTCAGCAACATGTGGAGTGGCCAATTGCATTTTTATATGCTTGGAGGGTGGAATCCAGTAGAATGGATGCTGATCGCCATATGCCTGATTAAATAACATAAAATCTGATTGCATAATGTGTCATTTCATGGCATTGTTTTATTGTTAGCGGCCATTACCAGGGCTAACAAAACTTATTTGCATAGGGCTGCCCTCATATTGGGGGAGGGAATTTGCCAAAAGTGAGACAAAGGACTTTTGAAAAAAATTGTAATATATGCAATTATAATATTGACCTCTCCCCCACAGGTCTTTTTGAAGGAAATTTCCTTCAATTGTGGAAGCCCTAGATATTACTACAGTAGTTGTAATGTAACCCCGACATTTACATACGACATAATAAGACATCCTCTGTGTCTACGGCATAGACTTCCCACTGTTCACTAGCTATAAATACCTTTTTTACTGGTAGCATTTCTAATCCATCTATTTGAAATGACAATTGTAATGTAACCCCGACATTTACATACGACATAATAAGACATCCTCTGTGTCTACGGCATAGACTTCCCACTGTTCACTAGCTATAAATACCTTTTTTACTGGTAGCATTTCTAATCCATCTATTTGAAATGATAAAATGGAATCGAGAGATGGTGTTGAAACTCCTAGACGCTCCAGTAACATCCACAGGAATTCCAAATCGACTCTCGACTGAAAATAGAAAAATCAAACATCATATAAATGCTTTGAAATTGTTTTATGCAGTATGACGTGTATCTGTATAAAAAATACTTAAGCCCCCTGTAAGGCGAATACGATTAATACTACTTAAATGACCCAGTCAAAGGTTTTCTTTTGTTGTGATTGTACATATTATACTTTGTATTTACAGTTGAGCCACCATGTTCCTTTTTTCTGGAGAGTGGCAATTAACAAATAATTTCAATCTTGACCAATTAAATTGCAGTAATTTTTGCCATTTATATAATAATAGTTATATTCGGTGTTAATTATAGCTCCCAATAAGCTGGCTGCTAAATTTGTGACAATTCAAATAGTTTATGTGTCACAAAATAATTTGAACGTTTCATGAAACCGATTAATATATGCCACACTCTTGTACACGAACCGCTTTACCATAAAGCCAAAGAGACTCATACCTCATATTAACGTGTGACATTTGTTTTTGGTGCAATCTTGTGCGTGATTTAGAAAACGCGAAAAAAGAAGTCAATATTAAAACAAGCAATTCAATCTATCCCTTACCTTGGGTCTCATTATCCCATGTGCATAGCAGTACAGCAAACAAATTTTTCGTCAGGAAAAGGAAAAAAAAGGCTTATTTCGTTACCAGGATCACATCTACTGTTGCCATGTATCACTGCTTCCCCATCATTCTCATTATTGTTCGGTGGTGGTACGGGATGAGTCTCTGGATAAACGGCCTGTTGAGCAATTGTATCAGTGACTGACATTACTCTGTCTGGGAAGCCTGTTTCTGTTGGTATTGCTTCATCCAATAGCATGTCTAATACTTCGTCGTCACTTTCTTCAATCAATACACTTTGCGCTACCATCGACTTCATTTTGTGATTTTTTTAACCACAACGCTGTAAAAAACTATTGATTTGGACTTGAATTGGATTTCACACATGTTGCAACACTCAGCATGTCTTTTCAACTATTGAAAAAAAATTCAATCTTGTTGGTAGGTGAAATGAGCGTAGCTGACACACAGGAAACGAGTAAGTGTTAGGCCTTGTTTATAATTTACATACCTAGCTGGACATTTTTAAAAGCGTTAGGTTTCATTTGGTTTCGTCCCAGACTCTCCATGCGAAGATAGTATGCAATCGTCTCCGTGTATATTCAATGTTTTGAGGAATGGTGAGTCTGCAGACTTTGATTGGGGTTTTCCCTGGCCTGATGCTTTGTTTACAAAGTCAAGGTCAGACTTATTCCACTTTTTTGAGTTCAAGGTCAATTTATTTCGCTCTGAGTGTACAGTATTTTGGACGTATCTTGTTTTGAAGCTGCTCTCTCCTGCTGCCGAAAATTCTTTAGAGGACCACTCAGGATTAATTTGTTTGCTTGGTGTTTTCGTATCTTTGATAAACATTTAAAATTCATTCTTAGTGTTGTGTTTAATATAGATTAAATGTTGTTTTTGTTTTAGTATGAAGTCAACGACAGAGCGATTCAACAAGATACAAGAGTACAACACGATTACAGAGTATGTCTACAGATATTCTGACTTTTTTATTGTACAATAAAATACATCCACCATCACACGGCCAAGTGCTTTGCCGTTGACAGGTTAGACAAACATGGTTATATTTACCTTCATAGTAATTTTAACAAACTAAAGATTTACCTTGCATAATTTTCTTCAGACAGAGTAGAGGCGCAGTCAAGAACCGCCAGCAATAAAGAGAGCGAGAGAATTAATGAGAAACGGCCAGCTCGAAGAGGTACAGCGGGTATATTTATTATTTACAGTAATCTTACATAATGTACTTTGTAGAAACTTTATATAAATTACTTTATTTTTGTAGCTTTATTTACATCTAATGCTAAAACAAGTGAAGGTTCGGGGATGAATAGAGCAAGAGGTTAGTCCACTCCATGTACTGTATATTGTAAAGAACTGACAGAAATTATTGTAATTGAATTAGCTTTTATAATTTAATACCATTGCCTGTTTGAACTATATATACTTATAACGTACACAAATGTGTTCTTTACTGAAACCAGATGGTTTTAGGTAAACTGATCTTTTACCTACAGGACATTCCCAGCCAAGGCAGACTGCATGTATGGTCCAAACAACAACTAGCAGCAGTTCTGAGTTTATTTATTGTATAAATATTGTCTTTTGTAATAACTACCTTTAATAAAACAGATCAAAGAAGCTAGGCAATGAGTGCAAGATGCAGCAGCCTTGGACAACAACATAGTCAGCAAAGACGACCAAGTGCATTGACAGGTTCGACAGACTTCAATATGATTCGTCAAAAACTGAAAAGGCATATTTTAATCTAGCCAGTATTCATTACATGTTGTTAATTTTCACAGGGGAACGAGTGGCGCGACAAACAAGCGACGACGGACGATCAACGCAAGGTTAGTTATTGAACATATGTACACGTTTTGATTTTACATCCTACCTGCAATTAACGAAAATAAAAACAAACTCTTTCTCTTGTACTACATTAGAATAAGCAAATTCAGGGATGCACAGAGAAAGAGGTAAATGACCTGAGTAAATTCCCCACCCCCATCATTATCAATTTAGTTTAAATATATTCATGTCTACCTTATTACATGCAGTTCATCTATAAATTAGGTATTTATTTCAGCTATAGGTCACTCCCACACTGCAGCAACTACAGCAGTTACAATGGAGCAAAGAACAAATGAAGGTTTTTATTTCATGGCATTAAAAATACATCCAGATATATCATCAAAATTATCTAAGTAGTTCTAAAGAACTGATTGAATTAATGTCAAATACTATTATTAACTTTGATAATGGTTCATAATGTCACATATTAAGAAGTGTCCCTGAATGAATATCTAAAGAAATGAAGTCCCTGAAGGCCGAAGTCCATGGTTTAAAGCACAGCATTTCTCAACTGACTGAGCAACAGGGAGAGCTTTTTCATCTGGTTAAGTCTTTGAAGAAGACCAGTGAAGCCAGTCACTTTGACATGGGGAAATGCTGTCACACTGTATGTATAAAAAGTAAAGCACATGTATTTAAACAAATTAGTGAAGTCCTTGCGACTAGGTAGCAATATTATTATACAATCTGTTTTTGACAGGAGAATGTCAACAGATTACTGGCACAGTTTTAGTGTACGAATGGTCGCTATCCAATAGCCACTGATGATAAAAAGGTACAAAGAATAACTTTTTGTTTCACAATTAGAAATACTTAATACTCAAGAACAATTATTAAATTAATATACATTACTAATAGCAATCATAGATCATTTGTCCTCTGAAAAATGAATACCACTTTCCCTTTATTTAGCCTCCAAATGTGGATTTTAAGTCCCACACCCCTACATATGATAAACACCCACCCTCTACTTAATCCCTTGTAGGTGCTGACTATATCTAAATTAACAATGAATAATAAATGAAATACTGTAATATATTGATATTATTTAATCTGAGTTTATTATCTATCCAGTTAGTATTTACATCCCCCTCCCTCCTCTAATAAGTTCACAAAGGTATGAATATGGGAACTATGGTATTCAATTGCATCTAAAAATGTAATTAAATTAATCTTAGAAATTGCTCGAGGAAGAATTCCTGGACTCAGCTTCAGGCTTGACCGTAGAAGAGCTCATGCTGCATGTCACCAAATATGAAGTGAGCAAATATTCATATTGGAGGAGTGAGGAATGCAGAAGAGTAAGCTTTCAGTTGTTATACCTTTAAGCATCAGGACCCATTACACCATTAGGCCCCACGAGTCTGTTCACTTTCTTGCTAGGTTCTTGGAATTAATGGCTACAAGCACTTGGTCAAGGCATCCTCCAATATTCTGGCCAAGAAAGTCCTTCAGTTGTTGGGCCAAAAACACAAGGCTGTGGCAACGTCTATAGTAAAAAAAGACATCCTGATAGTAAGTGTACTACATTACCATATAATACTGTAACAATCAGTTAATCCTGACAGAACTTATATCCTCTTCCCTCCCACAAACATGTACTGTATAAAGCCTATCTACACGGCACAATTTGTCGTATACAATTCTGACCCCGGTGTATGTGATCGAATAAATGTGGCATCAGCACTAGTTTTCATATGTCAGAATAACAATTGTATACCACGAATCAGATCATGTGGATAGGCCTATGCAATGTATGTAAAATTCTAACCAACCACTACACCAGGTTTTAGATTTAATACCACCCATTATAGACTTATATATACTATTCACTAAATATAATGAATGTTTATGAGAGGTATCGGAGGAAGAAGCCAAGCAGCTAAAGGACTTCTGGGGGGCTTTCTACAGCTGGAAGAATGATACCCTGCCACATAATCGTAGTTTTGAAGATTGGGAAAAGATGCGAAAAGAAGACATGCATTTATATCCGGAAGACTAAGCATACACTTCACGCTTAAGTCTTCTGCACAGAAATGCTGTGCGGGTCTATCCATCCAGAGTAGAACATGACAAGTCAAATACTTTGCATATAGAGATAAAAGAGGTAGACAAATTGGCACACATTTTTACTTCAAGTATTCTTAACCATTTTGTTTAACTTGGTTATATAATCTCCAAATTTTATTTATTATCTATGACTTCCATGGTGCAAAGTATTCTGGTATTTAGACTACACAAATTAGGCTACAAAAACATTGAATAAAACAGAATACAATGCAACACTACACACATATTGGTTTACATGTAACCTTTAATATTTGTAAATCAATTGAATGGGTTGTCTTGCATTGACAGTTTTCAATATATAGACATGACATACATGCAGTTCAGTTTAAATTTCATCGATGTTAGTTTGGAATTGCATTATAGGCCGTATTCTATGACCCCAAAAGTCGCTTAGAAAACAAGTTTCGTTGCCCCCATTCGGGATCTACTTTTAGTTTACATAAATTTATAGATTTTGATACGCTGAGTACAAATTCAGTTGTTGTAACTCGCACAGACCTGCAGTTTTTTTGTATTTTACGATCAAACATCAACATTTTTTATTAAAATTTCTGCCATTTTGTTCAGGAAACTTCATGTTATATACAGTTATTGTACTAGTCCAAGTCACAAAATAGAAATAGAGCAGAAGCTTCACTCGAGTCGGAACCTTTGAAGTTTTTGTGCCGGCACATGTTACTTCCGGATCTTGGCCGCCATGTTGAAAGCAACCAACTCTGGTCCAAAACATTATAAACTAACATGGCGAAACTTGTATTTCATAACTTTAAATGGGTATATCGTCGTTATTTTATGGTGGATGTCGTTGAAATTTTCAGGACGTACAAAAGAAAGGTAGATTATTCATTTTATTATAATAAAAGCTTATTGAATGATGCTAAAATTGTCATTTTAAACGCATTGCAAACTGTATGTGCTGTTTTGGCACCGATGGATATATACGCATTATGTTGTTTTTCTGAGTGTAGTTTGAAACTATTGCAACTACTATTCCACTTAACTTGAAGAAAAATGCGTCATGTCTTGTAAAAAGAATGCAGTAGGTTGAATTTTTTTAATTTTAGGCGCATATTATACTGTGAATATCCTTATAATTCGTACTACTATTCGTACTAAATTATATACCTGATCAGTGAAAGGGGATGTGATGTCTTTGTATTGGACTTCTTTTCTTAATTAACAAAAACGTTTTTGGACTAAACTAAGTAAACTGCACGAGTAGAATCCATTTTCACCAGAACTGGTTTATAATTTTTAACTCTGATATTAAACTTTGATTGCTGGTAACAGTATAAATGAGTATGATATATTTGTTCACATCTGTATCAAGCAATTGATGGTGGAGCAGACTAACTTGCCAGAAGTTACAGTTCATGACCCAAAATTGCAACACACCAATCTCATGCAGATTTACTCAGCAAGCACCATCTTAATTAATGATTTCACCTGTTATCAATTACCATCAGCATTGTTAGGTTTAGGAGCGAGACTAATTAAGCTCCAAAATAATAAAATATTGCACATTCAAACTGTGTAGCTCAGTCTGGAATGCATTGGTCTTGTAAACCAGCAGTTGTGGGCTGCATTCTTACTGTGGTAAAGTTGATTTTTCAGCTTGCCTGGTATAGATTTACTCAGTGTAGCAACATCTTAGTAATTTCTCCTGTGTATGATTACCATCAACATTAGATTTAACACCAGCCTTCTATCTTACAGTTGAGTTCTTATGTACTTTGGTGTAAAATATTTTAAGCAATATAACTTGTAGAAGTTATATTGTGTAATTGTTTTGGCAACACAGCATATTGTCCAGTGCACATGGTTAAAGATGTGCTACCTTCAAATATTTTCTGTTCTTTTTAGTGTTGGAAAGTTCACGATTGGCAAATTTTAAGCTGTAGTAAATGCACAACCTCAAAAACAATTTTTGTATCTTTCAGGATGTAGTCCAGAAAGCAATTTGTTGGAACATGAAGACCTTCAAATGTGCCTTAAAGAAACAAAACTGCTTCCTGTTATCATCTAGGTCATTACATTGGATGGCATTTGTGCATGTAGGACAGTTTAAGATCTAAATAGATTTATGGATCTAAACCATAGGATATAATAAATAGACTAGATAGTGCATCTCTAATGTAGAAATTGAAGCTAAAAATCTCAGCGGTTTCTCCCATGAGAGTAAGCTGGTGGCCATATTGGATCTTCCCACTCCTTATTATGAGATCTATAAAGTTACATCGCTAAAGCAGCTAAAGATGCTGTAAAAACCTTTTATCGATGAATTTTACATTGGAATATCAAAGCTGGGACACTTCGCCAGAAATATGTGTTTACAGAAGAATATTTCTTACACTTTATGGCTATAAAGATGTAACATTGCTAACATTGTTAGTGTTTTTCGAGACAAACGGAATATGAGTGTTTCTCGAGACAAGCGGTTTATATGCCAGGTCCAGTGTATAAATAAAGAACAAATGGTGAGTTTCTTCATTTCTTTTAACTATGTGTCGAAAAACAAGTTTCGTGTCCGTGTAAACATCTTCTGATTAAGCGTTTACTTGATTTTAATAATAGGCTTGTTTATAACATTATACCAAACAGACTGAAGCAATTTACTTATTTTAATACACCAATTTGTTATAATATAAACAACATAGTTGTTCTGTATGTTCATTTGCCAAAATGCCATTTCAACATTTTATTATATTTTCATTGATGGTTGAAAAGCACTAGTTTGTTCAACTTTTTTCTAATATTTTTCCCCGATCCATTCTCTGTGGCCTTCTTTCCAAGATGGAAAAGCTTCACCTTGCAATAGCACTTGATGATTTTCTTTGTCAGAAGTATGATATGGTTTTGATCCACTGGAGAATCAAACTGATGATCATTGAGCTCCTTGAACAAGCTATGTATGCACAAAACACCCAACACAGCAACAACAATTGCATCTAGAATTCCTGTTGCATGGGGAAGTTGTCCACATGTTACTGCTAACATTCTCTGAAAACATTTTTCACTCTCTTCACACACTTTAATCACACTCGGTGTTGGCATGAATAGTCCTCCACGATCCTTTAGAGCGAGGAAACTGGAAGCAGCATGTGTTCTTTCCGAACCAAGCGCCTCGCAACATTTGGTACAAATTATACTGGCTTTGACTTTCTTTGCCACATATCCAGCTATATAGGAGATTGCAGCTTTCTTGTATGGAGATATTGTAGAAATATTTGGACAATCAGAGTAATCCTCCATTTCAGCATGGCTCACCTCCACCAGATCATACTTTCGTATTAGAGCAGCATTTATAATTGTGACCTCCTTACCATTCACATTGCATGAATCACCAATGGCACTAAGAATGTCTATTGGGTCTCGTTTCTCACAGTTACCGTTTTCTCCTTCAATGTGGCTTCGTAGCAACAAGCGCTTGTAAGCTGCAGTAAACTGTTGTGTGGTGGGATTGTTGTTGAACCCACCACAAGCACGAATTGCACCGAAAAACAACTCTAAATGATCTTGACTCATTTTGTAAGTAAGTATATACTTCAGTGGGGCATGTTCCGTTTCGACCAAGTCATGAAACATCTGCTTCATGCTCTTGATGCCTGCTAGAATTCCCACAAATCCAGTCTTCCGCTTTGTCTTGCACATTAGTTGACCAAAAGTGTTTTTCAGTCCGAGTATGTATTCATACACATCAGTAAGGAATGGATCCCATGTGGTCTTGTTGGTTAAACTCATCGGGGCTTTATAGCCTTTGGCAAGTGGGTTTCTTGAGTTAAGGATGTCAAACAGTTGATTGAAATTTCGGATAAATGTAACTGTTGCTTCGGATCCCGGAAATTCTGGTATCTTTATTCTGGTATCTTTACAAAATTCTATGGCATCTGCCACGCTTGCACTAGGAGACTGTGCAGCCAAATTCACTTTCATCTTTTGTTGTTTCCAATTAATATGTGCTTTCTTCAGTTTATTTCCAAGCCTGAGGCCTTCTTCATCTTGCAACTTTTGCAATTGTATCACATATTCCCATTGAATCTTTCCACCATATTTGTCGATTAATATCCCCCACTCTGCAAAGGTATTCTGACAAGCTTCAGCATATAACAGATGTCCAGCAAGACATAGATTCGCTGATTTGGATCTTGTGGGTGAATGAAGTATGTTACCACCTTTAAAGGATTTAAACAAGCACCAAGAGCAGATAACATACTAAAACTAGAGGGCACTCAGAGACTGCATACCTCCGCCCGTTACTCGGAAGTGAAACGCAACCTTGGAATTTCCTAAGAAATCCACTTTATAATTCTTAAGCATAAAAGATTTCAGGCCCCCGCGAATTGAAATCGAATTGCTAATAGAACATATTACTGTTGTTGTACTGTACAGTACTTGTAAAATAAAAACTTATTAAGTGTCATTAAATAAATGCATAAATTTTGCTTTATGCCCTCGCGCGTGCAGTAATTTTCACAGTTGTGCTATTTTAAATTCCCAGGCAGCTAAAATCTTTTGTCTTTAAAACAATGTCGATTTCTTGGGAAATTCCGAGGTTGCGTTCTTTTTATACACCCTGTATTGAAGTAATCTAATGTTGTTAGAATTTGAATGGACTGGCACTTTGCTGAACGTAATAATGCGTAACTCCGTAAGCCTTGTTTTAGACATTGAATTTCGGTCGCGTGAAATGCAACTAAGACAATAGATAATGAAGGCCGAAGCTTAATGAGGTTTATCATCTCATTATTGTCTTAGTACTGCGTGCATAAATTATACACGTCCTAATTACGCATTCAGTAATATTTTTTGTTAATTGACCGGGAAAAGCAAGACAAAATTTTGTTCATTTCTCGTTCAATTTTTAACCAAATTCAACCAAATTTTAATCAGTTCTTCCTTAGCCGATGGGAAATGCATTCAAAAAATTTCGTACGGATATGTTTGGTATTTCTTGAGTTATCGTGCTCACAGACAAACACACACACATACACACACACACATACACACACACACACATACACACACACACACATACACAAACACACACACATACACACACACACATACACACACACACACATACACACACACACACATACAAACCCAGATGATTACATAACCTCCTGGCGGAGGTAAAAACCCAGATGATTACATAACCTCCTGGCGGAGGTAA